GCATAAATACATAAGCGCTAGCACGCTTTGTGAGAATAAATGGTGCATAGATGTGTTTGCTGCCTAGTAAGGCCAACGAGATAAAGCAGTGCGCCTACAGGGGTTCACTGCACTAAAACTGAAGGAGACCCGAAAGGGCGCCTGGCCCAACCCTCCCATCTGAGAGAGGGGAAAACTAAGGCCTAGAGGGATGAATGACTTACGTAAGGTCTTAGGCCCGGGGAGGGGCAGTCACTGGACGTTTATTATTAAGTGCTTATGATATATCAAGTACTCCAGGCACTGGAGGTGCGGAGATACACAACGCAGTGCCTGCTCTCAGGGCACGGACAACCCAGTGGGGAATCAGACCCACACACGCCTGCAGACAGCGAGTTTGGGACGTGAGGAGTCCTGGAATAGAGGTATCCACACAGAGCTCCGGGAGGAGGTGGGAGATGAACTAAACTGGGAGCGGGGGCAAAGCCTCCATGGAGTGTCAGAATGAGAAAGGTGGGACACGAGAGAAGGTTACTGCGGGGGGGGGGGGGGGGGCGCGTCAGCAAAGGCACGCAACCCGCCTCCCACAGAATCTTTGACTCAGACGAGATTTTAGAGAGACCAGTTTTTCATATGACTTAGAAATTTCTTAGCTTTATCCTGGAGAGTTGACAATTCAGTTTCTGCTGGAACATTTCCAGGGAGAGGAAGCTGATTACTGCATAAGGCAGGACAGGTTGAGTTCTGGCCCTCTCAGCTGGCGTTGCACTGGATGTGGGGGCTGTCAGGGTCTACTTCTCACTGTCGCTGGAGAGCAGGCCTGGTGCTATTCGGCTTTTGACTTCCTCTCAAGGGAATAAGAAAATGTCATGTGTTTTAGAACTCTTGACTTATAGAGCACTAGAGCTGGGAGGAACCCCAGATATCATTTAGTCCAATTTTTAAACAGCTCTCTGTGCCTGATGGACCCTCCTTGAGAATGTGATAAAAATGTACAGATCCTCTCCCCCCAAATTCACGTATGATCATGACACATGAAATGCAGCATATACTTTCAGGGCATTCATGGAGCCCCAAAGCCTGCCCTGGGTTAAGAAATCTTTCCAATGGGAAACTGAGGCTCGGGGAAGCAGATGGCATGAAGTGGAATCCTGGAAGTGATTTCCCATAGGTCAGACCACAGTGTGAGCAGAAGAGTCCAACCTACGGGACAATCCTGGAGAAGGGCGTTGACAAAATGAAGATGTGCGGGGGCGGGAGCGGGGGAGGGTGCAGGAGGACCTGCTATGAGGCAAAAAGGAGATCCGCGTTAGGGGTGCCAATGCCATGAGCATTTCTTTAATTGTCTGAAAATTGGTTTATGGAGAGGATTTTGATTCTTCTCCAAACCAGAGGGTAGGAAAGAACTCCTGCCAGGTAGCACTGTCCCCTCACTAATGGAGTGTACTGTGTGAGAGGCAGGGAATTCCTTGTCATTTGACTTTTTGAGGGTACAGGACAACCTCCTGTGGAAGGGGCTTCAGCATCACAAGAGTTTGATCAGGGTGACCCAAACTGGACTTGATTAAGTAACTCTGAGCACACTCACCCTCAAACACTAGCCAGAGAGACGCTCAGGTCTCCCAGAGAGTGTGGTAAGAAAGAATGTGGTGAGAGGGGGTGCAGAAAGTTCAGGATGGCGGAGACCTCAAGTGTGAGGGCGTGCGGGTGGCAGCAGTGGAGAGAAATGAGGCTTGGAGATAGAAGCGGCAGTAAATGTCGAAGCGTCTTACACAGCATCACGGCTGGTGTTCAAGAACAACGGCTTGTACAGAGTGATGGGACAGAGCATGAAAGAGAAAGCACTTAAAGGTACGTTTCAAAAGGGGCATTAGCACAACCGGTGGTGGCAGCACCATCAGGAAATCAGGAGGCAGAAGAGAGACAGGCTGTGGTGATGAGTTGTGGGTCACACACAGGGCGCCTGGAGCGACAGCGACAACAGGACATGCGAATGGAAACGTCCGGGGATCTGAAGTGTTGGCAAGTAACAGAAGGACAGCAAGGGGGAAATGCCCAGCGGGCAAGTGATGATTTGGGATTAGAGTTCCAGGAGGCCCAGCAGCTGTGTGACGGATGAAGGAGTTATCTACAGAGATGAAGTAATTTAGGTTTTAAATGTAGATACATTTTCAACAGAAAAAAAAGGATAGCATGAGTAGGAGTCTAAGGAGTTAGCCCCCAGGGCTGACCTCATTGTGGAGATGGCATCATTAAAAAGACGGGGGAAGGGAGAGTCAGAGCGTTAGAGGAGATCCTTGATTAGAGTGAAATAAAAATCTGGCAAAAGAAGCTTCAGGGAAGAGTGCACGACATAATGCGGTCTTACTTTAGTGCGCATTCAACTGTGTGCTTTGGCAGGTAAATTATAGTAATGTTCATTTTGGCAACAACATAGGTGGCGCGGTATGAGTTATAAAGTGCTTTCACGTGGATTGTAGGTATTTCTTAAACGGTATTTCCTAAAAAACATGCCTTAGAAAATAGGACTAAAACTTCTCTCCCAATTTCTGTATCAGTAAATTAGAATTCATTTTAAGTTAAAAAAAGGCCTTTCACATCCTTACTTTAAGGAAGGAGGTTTCTGCTAGGATAACCTGGGAAAGGTACACTGAGGTACCATGATGTGCCTGGGCCAACTTAGTCAACGGCGCAGTGGCAGAACTTAACATTCTGATTTCTGTTCCTTGAAACAAAAACAAAACACAAAATTAAACGCTAACTCTGATTTTACAAAATAACTCTTGAGAAATAAAATTAAATCAGTTTCTTCTCCATTTAAATATTTCTCTTGGAGATCTATGCTACAATGACTGTAGGAAGTGATGGTTAAAGTGTAAAAAACTTGTTTACTTCCAATAATGATACTCAATAAAGGAAAAATTGTGATTGAGAAAAAGTAAAGGAAATTGTGATTTTTCAGTTTTGGCAATTTCAAATACTATCACAGTAAGCACAGTTCTGAACTTCAGAAACTAAGAATTAAGAACAAAGAGGACCTGTCTTCCACAATAGTGACACTAATCAGAACAACAAGTGAAAGGGCAAAAGCAGGGGCAGAGAATTAGGTGTTCCGTAAGTCTCCTTGTTGGATCAAACCCTCTGGGCTAGGAGTTACAAAAGACCATGTAAGGTAAAAAATATCCTAAATCATTACACACTTTATTTAAGCATCATTATTTGAAACCCCTCCCTCTGTACAGAGGATCTTCTGACAAATGTATTCTTAGTTCCCAGCTCTACACTGAACCCAAACTCTTGGCCTCAGGTGTAGGACCTCTGGGCAGCATCTCAGGCAAAGGAGAGAAAGAGGAGGCTGAGATCAATAACAAGGCGATGCAGGGTTCCCACAGAACCAAAGAGTGCCTGGAAATCAACTGGGCTAATTGGTTATGTTTTACAGGTGAAAAGGCTGAGGCCCAGAGAGAGAAATATTGTGTCCAGTTCATCGCAAGTAAACATCAGAGGCTGGATTTGAACCCAGGTCTTCTTCCCACTCTACCACAACCCTTCTATTCTGCTGGAAAGGGAACTTGGGGGGAAGGACTCCTGGGTCTCCTCGCTCCAAAAACAAAGTGAAATGTGTTTGGATTCATATACTCCTTTTTGAGGGACATACAAAGTCATATTGCCTTTGTAGAGTTGCACCTCATAATCAGGTAGCTATGACTTCCAATTCTGAAAATAGATTCTCACGCAATTACACTAGAATTTACAGAAATGACAGTAGAAGGAAATACAATATTCCATCCCTTGCAGAGAATATTTACTTCCAAGTCAGGATAATTTGTCATATGCATTACCTACTTAGAGTCGTCACTCACATGCAGAGAACTTTGATAAGAAGGCTGGAAAAAGAGGCACATAGAGGCTTTAGGTTAACACTGGATTTTTTGGCAAAAGTGAAGGAAAGAGAGCCTCATTAAGAGAAGAATGCAAACTAGTATTTCCTAGGTGTCACCTACTTTGGTAACTTCTGAGTCACAGAAAATAACGTGTTTCTGTCAATCCTGCCTAGCGAAGGCTGACATTATGGTTAATATTCCAATTCATAGTGATATTTAATTTCTTGCTAACATGGTTTATCCTGCCTTATATTATTATTTTAATGGCTACTTATTACACTTATGCTTCCCCCTTGTGGGCACGATATGGAAGGAACGGAGAGATGGAATGATGCAAGGTGTGGAGACATTCAGGGTGCAGCCCCGGAGTTACCCCTCAGGAACCTGCCTGTTGTGTGCATCTCTGTCATCAGGGGTTTTGGTCTCTGTATCTGCTAATACGATACTTTCTTACTATTAAAAACACCCAATGCAGGTATCAAAGAAAAGGAAAACCAAAGGATAATCTAAAATCAATCATTTATGGTAAGATAATCACAATGTAGGCACATATGACTATTTTGCACATTGTGTATCATTATCCAAAAAAGTGTGAGGTCCTTGAAACAAGTATTTTCCTTTTAGTTACGATTTTCTCTGTAGGCTCTAGCCAAGAAATAGATTACATTATTTCGTATAAACTTGTTAAGGAATAGGTGGGGGAAAGCAAGTTATTTATATAAATTGGCTGCTTTAATCAAATCAAGATTAGGTTACCCTACTGGAAGCAGGCCAGATACTGGTAGAAGCTTCTTTTGGAAAGGCAGGAGAGGTGAGAAGACCAGTTTTCTCTGTGCAGCTCACTGTGGGTGGCACCGCCCCCTCCAACTCCTTCCCATGGGTGGGTTCTCTGGGTAAGAATATCAAGGACTAACTGAGAGCAATAGCCACCACATAGAGACCAGGCCTTCATCCTTCACTGTCACCTCAGTCTTCTGAGGACTGGTGAGCAAGGGGGAAGGTAGCATGGGCGCAGGGCTCAAAACTATTTCCAACCCTCTCCTGATCCACCCCCCCGCCCCGGCTTCCCCCACCACTCTGCCCCTTCACCCAGGATTTCGAGTGGTGGGAACACAATGTCTAACAGCTCGGACTTACTTGGCAGCAGCATCCTTTCTCAACTGCTCGTGCTTCATGAGGAGGTTCTTCCGGTCTCGGAAGGCTTTCCTGACCTTGTACCCTTTGTAGACGGCCTGGATCTTGAAGGCAGCAATGTCTTGGATGGCCGCGATGGACAGGGCGCCGTGCTCCAACATGAACTGGATGACTTCATGGCGCTCGCCAAGCAACGCGTAATCAAGGGGCGTGTACCTGAAGCAGGAATGTTTTTCAAAGTGTTGGAATATAATTCAAGGCACAGTTAGACTGGCAATATACTTGTATGCAGCAAAAATGTCATTCTACGATGTGAAATAGTCCTCAGGCAAAGCTATCTGCTGTACTCCAGAGCTGCTCCTTTTTCTCTCTGAGGGCCACAAAACAAGGTGACCTGGAGTCGGGTGCTTTGTGCTGCTGACCATACCAAGTCCCGACTTCTGCTCACTGGCTCCCAACTTGGGGGCTGGGAGAACATGATCATCCTTCCTGTTTCCCATGCTCCAAATAATTCCTTGCTCCTGTCTCAAAAGGTACTGCAAATAAAGTTCTATGATATTCATCATTTGAGCCTATGATTACTGATAGTTAACGCTTATGAAATTTTTTAAAAATGGAGAGATTATATGATAAGGATGGCTCTTTAACTGGAGAATGGATGAATTATGAAATAGTGCTGGAACAACTGAATAGCCACTTGGGGGAAAAGGGATTCTTACGTCACACTCCAAAATAAATTCTGGATGAAGCAAAGATCTCAAATCAATCAATCAATCAATCAATCAATCAATCAATCCATGAATATGCTAGAAGAAATTGGGGATGATTATTTAAAAATTGAAGTAGAATTTAAAAAAGAAAGATACAAAACTCAGAAAACTTATGATTGAAAAATGCAACTACATAAAAATTAAAAAAGCTTTGCAGGGCAAAAACAGCAAAAACAAGGGTAAAAGAGTTCCCAAAACAGAAAATACTAATGGTTCTTAAACATATGTCCAATCTCACTAATTTAAGAGAAATACAAATTAAGACTCATTTGAGAGAGCACTTTAATCATCAGATTAGCGAAGATCAGAAAGTTTAAGAACATACTGTTCTAGCAAGGATGAAGGGAGATAGCCTCTCTCACATACTACCTTCAAGTTTAAGGAGAACAATTTGGCAGGTCTGTAGCAATTATTTATGCAGCTGCCATTCAACATAGCCATTTCACTTAGAGGCATTTTACCCTACAGATTTGCTCTCATTTGTGAAATGTTTTATGTACAAGGATATTCGTAGAAGCACAGCTTGAAATAGTAAAAGAATGGGAACAACCTCAATATCCATTAACAGAGGACTGGTTAAGTAAAGCACAGGCCGTCCGTGCGATGAAGACATCTGTGTAATGCAGCCCTGACTGCAGTACATGAATAAATGAGCAACCATCTCCAGGATGTCTTGTTAAATGAAGAAAATAAAAAAGTAAGAAACAGAACAGGGTTATGGCCTGCCCCATTTGTACAAAAAAGAATATATTCCTGTATGATCACCTATGTAAAATACATCTCCAGATGTTTCCCAGGAAACTGGCAACAGTAGCGCTGCTGGGAGGGAGCTGGCTGCCTCGGGGGCGCCTGTGGGAGGGACTTGCCGTTTTCACTCAATGCCCTTTGATGCCTTTTTGATTTTGTACGATGGGCATATAGCACCTTTTTGATAACTTTATTATTTAGGAAGGATGGCTATTATTGCCATGTAGTTATATGTTTAATTATCAACTGGCTCTTTCTCATTGTGTGATTTTAGGCAAATTCTTTTTTTAAAACCTTTTTTGTTTTCAGAAGTATAAAGTAAATATGATAAACACACAGAAGAAAATAAGTCATCTATATCACCTCCCTCACAATTAACTACTGTTAATATCTTGGCAGAGGGTGCTTTCCTTTTTTAAAGAAAAATGACCGCTTCATAAAAATGACCCATGTAAGCATTTGCACCGTGCAAAAAGTAAAAACATTGAAGTAAAAACCCCAAACCCCAAATTCCACCCCCCAACAATGGTCACGGTAACTGTCCCTTCTTAAACAACTTACTCGCTGTCTCTAAGGCCCAGCCTCCCTCATCGCAGACTTGGCATGGGCAGAAAGGAAACGACTGCGAGGCCAGGCCTCGCACCGGCACAGGGAAGGAGTTCCTAAACGTCGGCTATTGCTCTTATCATCCCAGGACATACACTGCGGCGTGATTTGTGACACCGTAGTCGCTTATCAGAAATATTATTTCCATTGGACCTAGTACTTCCAACCACCTAATGGCTGCCACTGATCCGATTCCTTTCTGACTGTTACTAATTCAATGCAATAAGAGACGTTAGGAGGAAATAATCAGCTGATTTCTGAGGTGAAATAAATGATGATTATATCGATGCATCATTAGTCCCACAAAATCATCTAATGACTATAGGAAAAAAAGATCTCTCTTCAAAATTCGCCCAACAGTCACAGTAAGCCATAAAAAGATGAGGTTTTCAATTTAAGCCAAACGTGATCTGGCCACTTCACTAAGGAAACTCTGAATTCAGAAGGAAGCACCAAACGTTAAGATTAAGGAGCCCCCCATAAAGACAGCTCAATGTGCCGCTACTGTTCAGAGACCAGAAGGCCATACATAAACTTTAAAACATTATTTATAAGTAGGCAGAATTTTGTAAATTCAGAAAAATTTAAAAAATATAAATACATAGTCAATGGAAGAGATTATCACACAATAGTAGAGCTAAATTTAGTGTAATGAAATGAATAAACAGACTGAGAAAACTTAAGCAGCTTGCTGAAGGTTATGTAACTAGGTACCTGCAGAATCTAGACTGGAACTAGGGTCGAATGACTCCCATTCAATAATGTTTCTACAACACATCTATCAACTATTCAGTAGAAGTCTCTTATACCTCATAGAATGAAATTTCTAAAATCAACTTGCAAATAACCTATATTTAGTAAGCTTGATCATTTCTTCTTTAATTAAAATGTAGTGTCTTTCACATAGTATACAAGCAGAATCATGAAAATCTAGTGTATGAAATTAAGGCCCAAACTATGCCTTTACTTACAGATATGACAAAAGGAAGTAACAGGTAGCAGAAGAGACCCTAAAGAATGCGGAACTGGGAGTCGGCAGACCTGAGGGACCCTGGGCATTCTCTTCACTTCTCTGAGCTTCTGTTTTCTTACTTGTGACAGGCAAAAAGGAAGGCTAGGTCTTTCAGGCTATTTGCAGATGGAAATTGCATTTCAAATGTTTTCAACATTTTTATTATGGTAAATTGTTTTTTTAATTAGGAGAAATTTCAAACATAAACAAAAGTAGAGAGTATAATGTACTCCTTTACATACTCCTCATCCAAATTTAAGACTTAGCAAGATTTTTGTCATATTTGCTTCATCCAAGCCCTTCCCTTTTACTTTTGCTAAAGTATTTTAAATCAAATCCCAGGTCTCTTGTTGTTGCACCTCCCTGCATTTCAGTATTCATCTCTAAATAATATGAACATAACCGTGTCATTATTGTACTAACAAAATTAACAGGAATTCCTTAGTAAGAGCCAATATCCACTCCATATTCAAATTACACCCAATTTTCTCAAAAGTGTCTTTTTTAAAAAACAACTGCTTTATTTAGGATTCTCATTCAATTTTTGATCAAAGGAACACAATCCAAGTGTCTAGCAAGCTTTTAAGATTGAAGTCTATACCTAGAGTTTAAGCAACTGACCATATTGTGATTATTACTACTGAATCTTTCTTCATTCCCAATTCAATTTAGAAACATTCAAATGCTGTGAATATTCCCATCGATGTCAGAGTGTGGCTGTCAGGTAGTTATTGACTGAAGACCAGCAGGAGCTGACAAAAATTATGTCTATGCAGTGCACATCGAGGGGTTAGTGTCAACGCATGAGAAGTAGAAATTAGCACTACATTGATGGTAACAAGCCAAGAAACAATGTAGATAAAGACAAGAGACGAGATGCAATTGGACCTGCCATGTGGGAATGGCCTGATGGGGTGAGCAGAATGCCTAAACTGGAATGTCAATAAACATAAAAGGCAGTGCCAAGTTCTGACATTTGTACATCAAGGTGCATTGCTGATGAAACATTAAAGGGACCTGGAATGTTGCCACTGTCTCTTTTCATCTATAGATTGGCAAGTACGGTCAGGTGAATTTTTCCTCTGGTCTTTGGTCTGTAATTAATACATGTTTACTCCAGGAGGCAGTAAGCACCTTAATTCACAGGCTTACTTAGGTCTGGAATTCAATGTTTAACATATAAATGAGAACTGAATTGCAAACAAAATATTTTTTTTTACTGTTTCCCAAAAAATAGTAGTCACGCTGTAAACACTGTAACATTGTAGAATAAATGCTTTATAGAAATAAATCATCACCAATTCTTAGGATTCTTAAACTTTCCCTTTTGTTTTTCTAGGATTTCCAAGGGAGAAATCTTCAGCTCTCTCACATATCTGTTTTAAGGTCAAAACCTCAATCTTGAGGATTCCACTTGGCTTTCCAACTTCCTTAAATGGCCAATCCCCTAAACCCTCAAATTGTCATTGTTTTGCAGTTGCTATATGACGATAATACAGAGTGAGCTCTTTACACAATTGTTCCTAAAGAAAGACATACCAGTCTGCTTTATGTAATTCTGCATGTGCTCTAAGAATTCCAGAAGTTTCTAACACAGTTATGAAGCAGGGTGATGCTTACTAAGAGCCTGAAAACACAAACTTGACAATGCAACAGTTATTCACTGAGCATCTACTTCAAAAAAGCACTGTAAGCAATACAGAAGGTGACCATGATCTTCAGGAGTTCTCTGCTAACGACAGGGGAGGACAGGTTACACAGTGAGGGGAGAACAAAGTGTGGGACACATGACTATGGGATCAGAACAATCTCCTTAGGTGACACTGCATTTGAACAGAGGAATGGCATGATTCACAATTACATTAGAAATATAATTTAGCAAGGCTACTTTGGAAGCAGGTGAATTGAATGAGGAAGGATCAAAGGAAGGAAAACAGCGAGGAGACATTGCAATAGTCCCAGAAAGAGTCAAAGAAGGCTAGGTTTAGACAACGATGAAGGTAATGAAGACAAGCAAGGTGAGATACTGAGTCTGAAATACAGTTTTAGAAGTCGCCAGGACCTGGACGACTGCTGAAGCCTAAGGGTAGGTCTGATCGCCATAGGATAGGCTGAGAGAAGAGATCCAGTCCTTGGAGAATGTTTATATTCAATAATAAAAAACAAACAAAACAAAACAGAAGAGGAGCCAAAAGAAATGAAGAAGGAGCAGACATGATTAGAAAAGAATCAGGAAAATAAACTGTCACAGAAGCTCAGAGAAGATATAGTCTCAAAAAGGTAAAGAAGAGGAAGCAACAGAACCAGGACACAGAAAGGCCAGTGAGAGTGGACAGAGGGGACCCAACATCGCTCTTTGATTAGGAATTTGTCAGTGACCATTCAGACACAGATTTCAGTACAGATGTGAGGACGGAAGCCTGGCTGCAAAGGCCGAAATGGTGAGCACAGAGAAATGGGGCCAGTGAAGGCAGCCTGAGAGAAGGAAGTCTTTAGAGACAGAGAAGACGAGCTTCAGAACAAAGAGTTGGAAAATAATGGGTGGAGGATATCACTAACGGGGAAGGTTCTGCAAGAAGTGGAGAAGGTGACGGGGTTGGCCCCAGACAGAAGGAGCAGGTTTCTGCTAAGAAAGTTGCCAAGAGGAAGCTCTTCCTGCTCTTCTAATTTTCCACGACAGAAGGAGAGAACTGGTTGTGGCAGCTAAGCGGGTGGGACGGTGTCACAGCAGGGGCCACGTTACTTAGAGTGGCCGTGAACAAGGAGGACTAAAGCGCGGGCCGGGTTGGGGGATGTTCGGCTATGGAAGTCTGATGGCAAACTTGGCTGTTACCTACAGATTACTAGACCCTTCCTAGACCCAACACCACCAAGAGTCTTCTGCTTAGACTCCACGCTGTGTGTCTGGTCCTTTTCATGAGGCGCGGGTCCTTGGGGAACAACCCCAGCCTAACTCTGTGGATCTCATATTATTCAGGAAAACTCTACTGAGACTAAAGTCCTGAACTTTCAGCTTAGTGTCTCATTTTTTCATGTTACATGGTGGTGCCTTTGTCCACTGATAATATCCTGTTCATCAAGAAAAATTTCTTAAATGTGAAACACATGCCACTGGCCTAACTGAATCCTCAGTCCTGGTCAGTCTGGACCCCCTGACTTCATGCCAGCCACCAGCCAGAAGGAGGCACAGAAGTTTCCTCACCTGTAAAATGTGAGCTTGCCCTAGGTAATGTCTAACCTTCTGAATAGCTTTAAAATCTCAAGGTTCTAAGTCAACACTGCACAGAACTTTTGATCTTTTTTTCCTGGTTCAGGATTTCTTAATGTAGTGTTTTCCTTATGAGTATACTTATTTCTGACTTATTACTGACATAGAATCTAATGTTGAAATTTTTAATCTGGCAGAAACAATGTGATATTAACAATACATTTTATTTTAATCAACAGCTTACTTACCTCTCTTCATTGTTTTCCATCTGATTAGGAAAAGCAGCAAAGTCTAATAGTAATTTAATGGCATCAAGGTATCCGTTGTTACAGGACCAGTGCAAAGCTGTTCTTCCCTATGAGCATGAGCAAAAGTCAAGTTCATCTGGAGAAGGTAGTTTTAGACACACAAGTATTTATGCTAACTCAAAAAATAAACAATTCCCCTCCCAAATTACTTCATTACAATAAGGGAAAATATTAACTATGCAATGGAGAAAAGGATGGTATCTTAACCAAGTGACCAAGATTAGCGCTCCTTTAAGGGGCACTCTATGTCCCCAGACATAGTATCCACAGAAGGATTCAATATCACCTCTATAATGTCCTAACCAAAAGTGTAAAACTTGAATCTAATTATGAGGAATCATAAGGTAAACCCAAATTGAGTAAAATAAAATAAATAGCCCACATTATCAAAAAGTGTCAATGTCAAAGATAAAGAAGTCCTGAAGCACTGCTGGAGATAAAGAGGGATATTTTACAGTACTAAAACAGTCAAAGAAGAAGATACCACAATCCCAAATCTATATGCACCTAATAACATAGCTTCTAAATATGTAGGCTGCAACTGACAAAATTCGAAGGAGAAATAGTCAAAGCTATAATCACAGAGGGAGATTTTTAACTCGTCTTTTATAATAGCTGATAAAACAAACAGTAGAGATATGGAAGACCTGAACAATACAATGTAAAAATTTAACCCAAGGGATATATATAAATATATAAAACATTGCATCTGATAATGGTAAATCAGTACTCTTTTCAAGTGTACATAGAACATTTACCAAAATCAACCATAACCTGGACCATAAAGAAAGTCTCAAAAGACTTTGAAAGATTAAAATAATTCAGAGTATAGTTTCTGACCACAGTAAAATTTAAGATACAAACTAGTGTGATAGGTGGAATAATGCACTCCCTTGTAAAGATGTCTACATCCTAATTTCTGGAATCTGTAACTATGTTATGTTATATGGAAAGTGGGAGTTAAGGATGTGGATGGAATTAAGGTTGCTAATCAGCTGACCTTGAGGTAGGAGATTATCCTGGATTATCTGGGTAGGCCCAGTGTAATCACAAGGGCTCTTATAAGTGAGAAGGGAGGCAGGAGGGTGTGTCTGAGGGTGCGGTGTACGAAAGACTCAACCAGTCAGTGCCAGCTTTGATGATGGAAGAATGGGGCTCATGCCAAGGAATGAGGGCAGCATCTAGAAGCTGGAAAAGTCAAGAAACAGATTCTCACCTAGAGCCTCTGAAAGGGATGCAGTCCTGCCAACACCTTAGTTTTGATTTTTAGCCCAAAGAGACCTATTTTGTTTCTAACTTCCATAACAGTAAGATGATAATTTATGTTGTTCTAAAGCACTAAGTTTGTGGTAATTTGTTATAGCAGCAATAGGAAATTAAGGCAATGAACAACAAAAAGATAATAAGAAAGTGCCTGACTGCCTAGAAATTAAATAATAGACTTCTAAATATTCCATGCGTCAAATGGAAATTAGAAAATGTTTTAACTGAATGATAGTGATAGTATAACTTATCCAAACTTGCAGGATATGGTTAAGCAGTGCTTAGAAGAAGAAGCATGCTTGAATACATATATTAGAAAAGAATATTGAAAAAAATCAATGATTTAAACTTTCACCAAAAGAATCTTTAAAAAAATGGTGAGTCAAACCTGAGGTAAGTGGATGGTAGGAGATAATAAATGTAAGAGTAAATACCAATGAAATAGTTTTTAAAAAATGAAAAATATAGAAAATCAACAGAGAAAGAAGTCCTCTGAATAGATGAATAAGCAAAATGGAAAAGTTTTTTTAAAAAGTAAAGAGACAAAGCACATTACTAACATATAAGTGAACAAGAAAAGATCACTACAGGTCCTGTGTACATAAAAAAGATAGAAGCATATATGACCAATTTTATATGAATACATTTGACTTTTTTAATAAAATGGACAAATTTCTCAAAAATGCAACTTACTAAAGTGGAAAGGGAAATAATTAGAAAATATAAATAGTCTTGGAATTATTAATGGAAATAAATCACTCATTAATAGCTTTTGCACAAAGGGAACACCTAGATCCAATGACTTCACCAGGAAATCCTCCAAACATTGAAGGAAGGAGTAACACCAATCTTACATAAACTTGTTCGGAGAATAAGAAAAGAGGTGCTGTTTCCTGACTTTTTATGAGGTCAGTGTAACCCTGCTACCAAAACCTGGGAAGTATAATATAAGGAAGAAAAACTATAGGTCAAATTTTCTCATGAACATATATGCAAAAATATCAAAATATTAGCAAATAAAATCCACTAATATATATTTTAAAAATATATCATAAGCAGAGTTTACTTCAGGAATGGAAGGGCAGTTTAATATCTGAGAAACAAATGTAATCAATCAATGAAATTCATCATATTAACAGCAAAAATATAAAGAGGAGAAAAATAATACGATCATGTTGATAGATGCAGAAACAATATGACAAAAATTAAACAGCTCCTTGCATTTTTAAAAACTCTTAGCAACTAGAAATAAAAGGGAACCTATAGCAAATATTATATTCAATGGTAAAATATTTAAAGCTTTCTCCTTAAGCCAGTATGAGTTAAGAGCATCAATTGTCACCAATTCTATTCAACATTGTATTGGATTCCTAGCTAGTTTAATAAGGTAAAACAAGAAGTGAAAGGCATAAGAATGGAAAAGGAAGAAAGAAAAATGTTATTATTCACACATAGTATGATTGTGTATGTAGAAAATCCAAAAAAATACACGTGAAAACACTACATATAAAAATAGAACTGGAAATTAAGAAACTGGCAACTTGTAAAAAAAAAAAAAGTAAACAGTATTGCAAATTACAAAAGATGTATTTCTAATAACATAGGTATAAGGACCATATTTATATATTTTCATTATGTTAATTTTACATATAATAATAATCTTCATAAAGAGTTACTGAAAGAGTTAGTAGGAAATATATTTTCTGACTTGGAAAACATAACATGCTAGGATTTTTAAAGAATTAAAGTACCAAAAAAACAACATTGGCTAAATTGAGAGAAAGCAATATATTACTACACAGCTGGGGGAAGCATAGATTAACCCACATGTTTTAGAAACCAGTTCAAAGTTTATACCAGAGCCTAATCACATGCATATACCATTCATTCTTTGATTCAATAATCTCACTTAGGGGAAATTATCAGAGGGGAATAACCCGAAATAAAAAAAGTTAAATGAATGTAGATGATTAATGCAACATGATCTGTAATAAAGAAAACGTGTCTTGCAAAATAAGGCTTATTCAACAAATAAGGTGCATGGACCACTATTACTTGAAATAAAACAAATATAGAGCCCTATTTCACATATTATACAAGAAATATTCAGGTGAGTTACAAATCAACGTGTAGAATCTACGGAGTTTTAGAAGAAAATAGAACTAATGTTTTTCATGACCTGCAGTAAAGTACTCAAACCCAGAAGCTATAAAGTAAATTGACTGTGGGAGTGAGGGGTGGGGGTGGGGTGGGTGGAGGGGGGCGAAGGGCTAAAAACTGAGACAACTGTAATAGAATAAACATGATTTATAAATTTAAAAAAAAAGAAAGAAAATGTGTCTTGCAATAGGAAGTTACTTATTTAATTCTAAAATTTGGATGACAGTTGTAATTTAGACCCTGACTCCAACCTGCCACCGTTGTCACTTGAGGGTAATTACTGAAGCTCCGTGAGCTTCAATTTCCTCATCTGTGAACTGGGGATAATAATAGTAGTGACCGTATAGAGTTGCTGTGAGGACTGAGTGAGTTGCTAAGCATAAAGCTCTTGGAACTTTGGAATATTAAACATCATGATTATGAAAAAGATGACAAACCAAATGCAATAATATTGGTGATAATTTTAAGTGAACAAAACAAAACATGGTTTGTAAAATATTATCATATTTATATATATATATCTCCATATGCCATGTATATATATTTTACAAAAGTTATAAAATTATTCCCTATTTATATAATGACTTTGTTAAATTATATAGATATATAGGCAAGGACTTGGAAGAGAGCATGGACAAATAAAAATCATTTTTAATTAACAGATTTGTGAGGGATCTCTTCATTTGGCAAAATGCCATTTGATTTCATTTCAGTGAACAAAGGAAAAATACTTGAAACACTTTGGAGCAAACAATACAGAAAAGACCCAGAATTTCTACCTCTTTGTCTTGAATGTTAGGGTCTGCATTATTTTCCATGAGCACTGCCATGCAGTTGATGTACCCCCCATACGCGGCACACTGCAAAGGGGTTCTTCCTGCGTAATCCTGCACATTTGGATTGATCTTATTTTCTATCAATATCTGGCAAACATCAGCATTTCCTCCCAGCGCTGCCCAATGTAGAAGAGAATGTCCATCTTGGTCAACTAGATCTACTCTTGCTCCACCTGAAAAAGCAAGGATATAGTGAAGATGACTAATACGGAGAGCATTAATCAAAATTTAAAAAGTATATGTAACAGACCCTGAAATGCTTTACACTAGCAAAATATTTCCACATATATTATCTGAGTCATATTTTTTACAGTAAGTCTGTACATTGGTTACAATAGGCATCAGTTCTCTTTTACAGAAAATGCAACAAAATCAGGCAGGTGGAGTGACTTTGCCAAAATCACACAACTACCAACAGGTGGAGCTAGGTCCTTGCGTTTCCTTATGCCAGGCGCGGCGCTCTTCACCCTGCTACCCGGGCGGCTCTCTGCTACGTAAGGCTGTGTATTTGAAATGGTGAATGCAACAGTTCCGACCTTTGAGAGTGACTTAGTTGGAGCATTTTTAATAACTAACCTTTAATAAGTGTCTGAATCACATCTTTGTGTCCCATCTCACAGGCTCGGAAAAGTGGAGTATGTTTCATGACATCAGTAGCATCTACTTGAGCATTATTTTCCAATAACAACTTCACGGTGCTGACATGGCCAGAAAGGGCAGCAGCATGTAAAGCTAAAAAGGGAGCAAGAGAAAGTGATGAACTCTTTAATAACAACTTTACCTCTTTATTAGTCTAACTATGTATCTTTTCCTCCTGTGATTACCCAATCTTTTTGGCTAAATGCAATCTGGTCTTAAGGATTCACTTTTGCAGATTTCTATATTCCTTTTATTCATACTTATTTAGTCGATTTAGAGAAGGGGGTGGTTAAGGAAGAAGGTGTAGGGGAAGGTGGCTATGTGACCACTTCCCCCCACCCTTCCCAGCCTCCAGACAACCCTCTCCCTTGCCTGTTTTTGCTATGGTTGTAAAGGTGTTTTCCCCTCTGCCCCACCCACAGACATGCCTTTCTCTACTCTGGGATCCTAGTTTGGGCCTGGAGCGGGGGCACCTTCAGAGGCGGCTAGGCTGCTGGCTACTTTGTGCTCCCTGCACAACCTCGCATGGGCTTTTCTGTGTTATTCATAAGACTCTCTAAAGTCCAATAATGCGTGTAGGAGATTTAAAACAAAACTACTTTCTCCCTTTCCTTCCACATTTCTCATCTCATTGTTCTCCCTTTCCATCCCGTTGGTCTCACATGGTCCCCTCCTCTTAGCTACTACTTCACTATTTTTTCCTCTTTCTCAAGGAGCAAGAGAACAAACAAAGGACAAAGAGAAATAATTTAAATGATACAGGGAATTCTGCCCACCAACCCACTCAATCAGCATATGCTTGAGGGATGGTGTGACAGGAGACATCACTGGTTTCTTCCGTGGGTTACACGAGCTATTTCTGTGGTTGGTCTGCGCTCACGCGCTACTGAGAGTTTGTATACCTCACTGCCTTGAGTGCATTTTTCATACAACATGGCTCCAGCAATTTCCTCAGGGCCCAATTTATGAAAGAGCAATTTGTTTCCACATTGGAGAACCCATGGAGATGGAATGTGGTCTCTTCTCCGGTGCTCTTGGAAGGGGTTTGAAAAATTAATTTTGACTACATGTGAGTTTCATGTTGGGCTGACAACTGCCTGTGTCATTCCATTCTAGTGCTTGTCTCATGCCATCACTCTTTAGGTTACTCTTTAAATTCTACTGAATTTGCCTGGATAACTCTCTAGAGGCTTGGGCCAATTCTTTCTAAGTATTATGGCTCTACAGTGTCTAGAACAACGTTTCTTTCATAAAGTGTGACCCATGAATCAGAACCTAGGATGCCTATAAAATTGCAGATTCCTGGATATTTGTTGAAAACATACTATGGGCTGGGTGTTAATGTAATGATGAGAATCCAACAGGAAACAAACAGATAAGGTTACATGTTAGTAGGGGAATAAAAAAAACCCAACTGTGTAAATAAGAAGGTATTAGATAGTGATGAATGGTATAATTAAAGTAATGAGTAATAAAAGATACTTTGATTTCAGAGTGACTGGGGGACTACTTTTTATTGGTGGTTAGGGAAAGCCTTGCTAAGGAGATGACATTTGAGACCTGAATTATAAAAAACAGAGAAATGCGGTGATCTGGAGAGAGAGTAGCTTGGGCGAAGGGAACAGTTAGTACAAGGACAGGAATGAATCTGTGCTTAAGGAAGGCAAGGAAGCTGCAGCACAACAGGTACAAAAGGCCAGGTCATAAATGGCCATGCAGGTAGGTGAGTGATATTATCTGATTCACAGACTACACAGAAAACACCCTAGCTGTTCTGAGAAAATGCATGGTAGTAGATCAGAATAAAGGCAGGGAGACCAGTTAAAACTACTGCAGTAGACTGGGTGAAAAATGATGGCTTGAACTAAGGTGGCAGGAGTGGAGATGGAGAGAAATAGAAAGATTTAGAATATATGTCGGAAATGGAGTCAACAGAACTTGTTGACAGGATGTGAATAGGATCTTTGTCCATATATTCTGGAAACGCGCATTTCAAGGAACAGCCCTAGTAATTCTTATGCGTGCTTGAGTTTGAGAGCTCTGACCTAAACGGGTAAATTTTTGTTTTGCCTACCCAAGATTCAGACAGGTGTGAGAGACTTCACATATCTGAAGTACTGTCATGTGGAAGGAGCAAAGGGTGGAACATGCAGATTGACAAATTTTGGCTTAGTATAAGGAAGAACATTCCAGTAGAGTTAGGTTAAGAGGGAAGCAGTGCGTTCCCAAGTTGGAGCTGTTGAAACCGAGGCTGAAAGACCACTACTGAAGAATGTCATTACGCAGATTAAAGCATGATAGACCTGTGCTACTTTAGTTGTTTTCACATTTTAAGAGCATAAGAATGTTTTCCCCCAAGTGAAATTTTATAAAACATTCAACACATTAAACAGATAAGAGTTGTTCTGCTAAAGCAGGAATAGAGGGTTATCTACTTAAGCACCTACACCCTCAACTCACTTCAGGTACCTCTAGAGAAACCTGTTGTTCTAAAGAACATGGTTTGGAAAACCTGGGGCTAGATCTAATTTTTGGGTATTTTCTAATTCTGAAATCCTATAATGCTGTGATATGGCATCAGGATACAATAGATAGATACTCTTCAGATAAATATCAATGTCAAATAAAAAAAAGACACAATGTCAACTAAGCAAAAAATAGAACAAATGATCTTATTAAAGGAAATTCCCCGTTTCTGAGTATTTGCATTTATTTATTTAAAAATAACCTTAGATTTAACTATCGTTACTTCCTCTTTGAAAAAGTGCCACAATTTTACATATTAGTGCTATTTTTTAAAAGTTAAATTTACTTTATTCAAAGTTTTAAACATATTCAAAAATAAAGACAGCAGTCCAGTAAACTCAATAAAGCCGTCACCCAGCTCCGGCAATTGTCGGCACGTGGCTAATCTTGCTCCCTCTAATTGTCCTCTATCCCCTCCACTTCTGATTACTTTCATGAAAATTCTAGAGTCATATCCTTTCATTTATAAATATTTTAGTAAGTATATCTGAAAGACACGTTTGTTCATTTTTAAAGAAACACAACCACTGCATCAGTTAGGGTCCATTTAGGAGACAGAAACCACGCTAGACCCGCTAACAGAGAGAACTCAATAAAAGAGCTGTTAGCAACGTATTGAAGAACTAAAAAAGCCAAAAGGGAAGACTAAGGTATCACAGAGGTCGTAAATGCAGAAAACAGCTACTAACTCTGGACTAGGGGAACAGAAACAAGAGGATGGGGTTATTAAAAGCTAAAAGCTTGAAGAGGAGCCCTGCAGAACAGGAACTTAGACCTCTGAGGAGGGCCTCTGCTTGTTGGCTGGTTCTGGTGTCTCTGAGGAGGGTGCTTTGAGGCTGGTACTGTGAGTGATGGAAAAACTGCAAAGTAAAATTAACATTACCATTGGAACAAAGTACAGTGATGAACACAGGAAAAGGAAACAAAAACAAAAATAGTAAGTATACAGGAAGATGCAATCCCCTGTTGCTCTGCCAGCTTTCCAGTCTCGCTCTACTGCCCCCTATAGGTTGATTCTAACAGGGCACCTGCTGGCAAAGGGGAAACGTGGTTTGCAGAGCTCCAGCCCCCACATTCCAAAGATAGTCCCATTATCATACCTAAAAATTATTAACAAAAATTCTGTAATATCAAATATTCAGGTAGTGCTCATTTTCCTGATGGCGCTATCATTTTTAAAAAGGATTTTATTTCTTTATTTTTAGAGAGGGGGGAAGGGATGGAGAAAAAGAAGGAGAAAAACTTCGATGTGCAGGAGATATATTGATTGGATGCCTCTCACACGCCCCTAACTGGGGACCTAGTCTGCAATCTAGGCATGTGCCCTGACTGGGACTCAAACCGGTGACCTTTCGGTTCGCAACCCGGCACTCAATCCACTAAGCCACATCAGCCAAGGCTGGCTTTATCATTTTTTATAGCTTATTTATTTGAATCAAGATCTCAATAACGTCTGTATACTGTGGTTGATAAAAACTTTTTTAAAGCAAATTTTAATCTGACTATTATTTTTTGCTTTTTTATTTTTGTTTTTAAATTACAGTTTAGAACTCTTTTTTTCAATGGGGAGGATAAAACAACACTGTAGAGGGATGATGGAGAGGAACTCACTTTCACGGACAAGAAATGCCAGGAAACATCTCTGACATATAATAAATCCTTTAGGACAAAGAGACTAGGGAATTCATGAACCTAAGAAAAGGTATGTCTGAACTCCAACCACGGTGCACATCAGAAAGGCACCTTTGGTCAAAAGGATGCAAGTGTTCTCATCTATACTTTATTAAAATACATGAAAAGTTAAACTAAAAGTAAGGCTAGTGATAAAGTAAAAGACTGCATACTAATGGAAGTCAGACAAAAAAATTAAATGTTCAAACCATTTATAAACTCAATGTCCTATGTGTCTGCGCTGTACTTCTTAAGAAGCTTAAGGTCTATTGCAAGACTTTGTTAAGAAATAATTTTGAAATTTAAAACCTCCATCAAAATTCACATTACCTAAAAACTCTTTAAAAAAATGATTTAGAGGGGTGAGTGGTGTAGGTTAGGGAGAGAGACTATTAGGTGGAGTGACCTCCCTCTCCACTCTTCCCCCCAGTGCTGGATTAGTAACTCTGATGGCAAAGAGAGATCTTATCCAGGACAACATGTAGGTGCAAATGGCTCTGGTACATCTTCTTACAAGTAAGAAAAAAACATAACATTGAGAAGCTTGAGGCTGAATTTTTATTCTTTTCAGTGTTACTGTGCTGTAATGTGATTTTCCTTTCTTTCCCATGTGGAGTTAGGATCTAGTACATGAGAAAGCGACCTCCAGCAGTCAATGGATGCTAAGAACCCTGTACCTCTCTTATTAATGAGAAGACAGTTAAAGGACTCTCTTAGTAGAGAAAGAGATTGAAAGAAGCATCTTGTAAGAGCTTTTCATGCAAAATTGACTTGAAGCTTTGAAGCTTCTAGAGTCATGGAGGTTATCTTGAAAATGGCAGGATGAGGTAAAGTTATTCAAATCTGAGAAAAGAGCATATTAAATGAGACTGGTGAGAATATACTTAGATGTATAAATTCCTTAAAATAAAGTTTTGAAAATACAATTAATAATTACTAAATATGCATAGTTTTAAAGTACAAGTTTTTGCTCTTTTACACGAAGGTAATCAGAAGAGTTCCCATAATCATGTCTAAGGAGCAACCAGGGTTTTAAACCAAATGCCATCATTCATCTGGTAGACACAGAGGCTAATTTCGCCCATCACACTGGGAGGGAATAGGCCTATGAGTGATATCCTGGCAACTTAAACTGAAAAAGTAAAGATGGAAGTCAAACAATACTGAATTAGCGAGAATTATTTAAAAGTACTATCGTACAAAGTTTTAGAGCATCATCTACATTTTGAAGCCCGAAATGAAAGGAAATCAATTATGTCTACCAGTTCTCACCTGTGCCTCCATACTTGTCTGTCATGTTGATATCAATGTCAGACTTTAGGCTCAGCATAGTCCTGAGGACATCATCGCTGCCTTTCCCAGCAGCCCACATAAAGGATGTTCTTCCTTCGAGGTCTGAATCATCTTTCACTGAAGGATGTTCTAAAAAGACTTTAACTGTTTCCTGTAAGAAAACTTCATTTAAAACTTTGACACATTAGAGTAGTATTTTTAAAATTATATTTTATTCATTACTCTATTACAGTTTTCCCCCTTTTCCTTCCCTCCACCCAGCACCCCCACTCCCTCAGGCAATCCCCCCACCATTGTTCATGTCCTTGGGTCATGCATATTAATTCTTTGGCTACTTCCCATTTCCTATACTGTGTTTATATCCACATGGCTATTCTGTATATACCTAATTGTACTTCTTAATCCCCTCACCTCTTCACCTGTTCCCCCACACCCTTCTCCCACCTGGCAAACATCAAAACACTCCCTGTATCCATGATTCTGTCTCTGTTCTCCTTGGATGCTTAATTTTTTAGATTCAATTGTTGATAGATTTGTATTTTTTGCCATTTTACTATTCATAGTTTTGATCTTCTTCTTTTTCTTAAATAATTCCCTTTAACATTTCATATAATAATAGTTTGGTGATGGTGAACTCCTTTTGTTTTTTCTTGTCTGGGAAGCTCTTTATCTGCCCTTTGATTCTAAATGGTAGCTTTGCTGGGTAAAGCAAGCAATCTTGGCTGTAGGTTCCTGCTTTTCATGACTTTGAATATTTCATGCCAATCCCTTCCTGCCTGTAAAGTTTCTTTGGAGAAATCAGCTGACAGTCTTATGGGAGCTCCCCTTTAGGTAACTAACTTTTTTTCACTTGCTGCTTTTAAGATTCTCTCCTTATCTTTAATCTTGGGTAATTTAATTATGATGTGTCTTGGAGTGGGCCTTTTTGCATCTACCTTGTTTGGGACTTTTCATGCTTCCTGGACTTGCATGTCTATTTCCTTCACCAAATTAGGGAAGTTTTCCTTCATTATTTTTTCAAGTAGATTTCCAATTTCTTGCTCTTTCTCTTTTTCTGGCACCCTTATGATATGAATGTTGGACCTCCTGAAGTTGTCTGAGAGGCTGCTTATACCATTCTCATTTTTTTGGATTCTTTTTTCTTCTTGTTATTCTGATTGGTTGTTTTTTGCTCCCTTATGTTCCATACCATTGATTTGATTCTTGGCTTCATCCACTTTACTATTGTTTCCCTGTAAATTTTAATTTCAATTAGTGTATCCTTCATTTCTGACTGGATCTTTTTTATGCTGATCAAGTCCTCACAAAGTTCCTTAAGCATGCTTATAACCAGAGTTTTGAACTTTGATTCTGATAGATTACTTTTCTCCATTTTGTTTAGCTCTTTTTCTGGAGTTTTGATCTGTTCTTTCATTTAGGCCATGTTTCTTTGCCTCCTTCTTTTGGTAGCTTCCCTGAGTTTGTTTCTATGTATTAGGTAGAGCTGTTCTGACTCCATGTCTTGGTAGCATGGCCTAATGTAGTGGGTGTCCTGTAGGGTCCAGTGGCACTGCCTCCCCTACCAACCAAGCTGGGTACTCAAGGCGCACCCTTCATGTGGGCAGAGTACACCCTCCTCTTGTAGTTAAGCCTTGGTTGCTGTTGACAGATCAACAGGGGGGATTTACCCAGGCCAGTCAGCTGCAAGGACTGGCTGTGACCACTGACCACCAACCTCAGCCCTCTGAGGAGGATCAGCTGTGCAGGGTCAGGGTGGTGGTGCTCTAACGTGGTCTGTAGCTGTCCACTGGGTGCGCTGGCCCTGGGGTTTCCCAGGTGGTACAAGCCAAGGTCAGCCCCAACCTGTGTATTGCCCAGGGCCACCCTGCCTGAGTTATAAAGCAATCTGAGATGGCTGCTACTTGGGCTTGGAGATTTCCAGGTGAAGCTAAGCTGTGAATCTAGGCTGGCTGTTGCTAGTGCCAGGCCTGGGGCTCACTGAGGCCAGCTGTTACTTGTTTAATAGGGTTTTGGAAGTTGTGAAGCATGAGCCAAGACCAGCCACTCACATGGAAAAGCAGCTTGGGTGGGCCTGTAAGTTGGGTGGGGCAGAGTCTCTGGGGACTCTAAGGTAGGTCAAAGAGTGTTAGTCAGGTTGATCGAGCCTTGGACATGGCACCAGATTGCTGGCTCTGTGAGGGGAGGGTTTAGAAAAGAGACAATGGTCTCTGCTCACCTTGATGCCAGACATGTCAGTTTCTCTCTGTGCACCACTGGTGCCTTTCAAGCTGCTACCTGGGTGCTGAGCTCAGGGGGAGGGAGTCTGAGTAGGTGAGTCTGTGTGTGGGTTCTTTAAGAGGCATTGCTGGGGGCTCCAGCAGTTTCTTCAACCGACTCAATCTGCGCCTGTGTTTTGCAGCCAGAAGTTGTGGGGACTTATCTTCCTGGCACTGGAACCCTGGGCTGGGGGGCCTAGTGTGGAGCTGGGACTCTTTGCTTATGATATCCCTCCTGAATTTTTATCCACCACACATGGATGTAGGACCAGCCTGTTCCCTGTCTGCCCCTCCCACCAGTCAGGATGGATGTGGTTTCTTTAATTCCATGGTTGTCAGACTTCCATCCAGCACTTTTTCTGATGGTTCTGAGTGATGGTTGTTCTATATTCTAATTGTAATTTTGGTGTGATTGTGTGAAGAGGTGAACCATATCTGCTTTGCCACCATTGACCAGAAGTCCTAGAGCAGTATTTGTTATGATAACAAAGCCACTGTCACACGTGACTTCCACTAAGAAGCAAAGTATTTTTTCCTGCTTTTGAATCAAATGAAATTATTGTAGAGTTTTTTGTTATTGTTGATGTTTTTCAAAAGAGAACTGAAACCTCTTCGAAAAAAAGTACAAACATATCAAGGGTCTTGAAATTGAGCTTATAAAAAATACCACTTCTGGGGTTGGCAGATTATGCAAAACAAGTATTTCTTTGAGTAAACATCCATAATGTTCCACCATTTTTTCTTAGTTCCTTTAGCATGTCAATTACTGTATCTGTACCTATGTTAAATTTGGAGTCTAAGACTTAGGTTCAAGATGTTGGGAAAGTCATTTAATCTCTTGGAACCTTGGTTTCTTCATCTGTAAGTGGGGATAATATGACCTGGCTCATAACATGTTCTATCTCATAGTCTTGTGTTAAAACATGGATTGAGTTTTGATTTTCGTAAATTGACTAGACTGGGCCAACTGATTTTCTTATAATAAGAGAAACTTGTAATATTAAAAAAAAGATTCTCTTCAAAATCTACTTTGTATTTTTCTGAGATTTTGGGAGATAAAAGAACATAATGGTTTGCCAAACCTCTAGGTGATAAAGTAAATTTTTATGAGGGAAGGAAGGACTATAGCTATAGTTGTTGTGAGTACCAGAGAGAAAAAAGCGTAGAAAAATGTATTTTCGCAATCTGAGTACTCAATGTCTTCAGTGAAGCATTTGGGAAGGGAAGGAAGATAGAATTATACTATGTTGATGATGACATTCTTATAATTTAATGAAACCAAGGGTTTCTTTCACTAAGCACACGGTGTAGAAGGCATCAAAGTCACTGTGACTGTTTTAATGTGGGCTCTTTGGATGAGTCTCTGGTTCTTGGTGGCTACTCATATTCAGGAAGCTGAGGCAGGCTAGACACTATCATGTTATGGCTGGAATGAGTGACATAATGTATGAGAAAGTGCTTTATAAATGATAAAGGGTGGTTTACTAAGTGAAGAAGTGTTAATATTAGTCAGTATCTTTGGAAATATCAAAACCTCATATGATTGCTTTCTCAGATATATAATATACGTTGTTATTAGCAGTAGTAATGATAAGAATTCATTCTATTTCTTGAGTACCTGCTCAATGACAAGACTACAGTAGGCACTTTCTAATTTTTTCTAATCCTTATAACAATCCTGAAAGAACAGGTATAATTACCATCATTTCACATATGAAGAAACTAAGACTCAAAGAGGTTAAGAAACTTGTGTAAAGAGGTTAAGAAACATGGCTAGCAAATAGCACAGTCAGGAATCCAGCCAAGGTTTGTCTAGTTGTCACACTGCCTTCAGGACAGTTGCAGACTGCTGAATACTAAGTTGTCCTTAATATTATAAAAGTTACAAAAAGATTAAGTATACTCACAGTAAAGCATACACTGAACAGTTACAATAAAAACTGTAACACTTCGCATGTGACTAAGAATTTTATAAAAAACTCAGAATATCACTTGCATTTCAGAGTTAACAAGTATGAATGATTGTTGCAAGATAACTGCTGTACAAACACCCACAAATGAAGGGATGTAAAATGCTGAAATTTGAGTAAGGTCAATGGATTGTATCAATATCAATTTCTTATTTATGACATAGTGTTACACTTTTGCAAGATGTTACCATTGAGGTAGCTAGGGTGAAGGGAATGTGGGACCTCACTGTTTCACTTCTTACAACTGCTTATGAATTACAATCATATCAAAATTAAAATTTAATCAAGAAAAAAGATAATTGTCGTGTTTTACTTACAGCAAAGTTACTCTGAGCCGCATAGTGCAAGGGTGTTGCTCCTTGGCTGTCAGATGGGATGGTTCCAGATTTATTTCTTTCTAGAAGGAGATGGACAATCTGTGCATGGCCTGAAAGCAGACACAAGTTAGCTAGTACATACAAAGGACATTCAATAATTTATAATCTAACGGGGTGAGAACAATCACTAGCACATAATACAACACTCAACATGGTTGCTGGGTAGTGGCACTCAGTGCAGCCTCTTCAAACTTCTCATTAAAGTACTATGATAATGCAGAACAAAGGCAAACATTTATAACACTAAAACCTTAAGTCTTCAATGAGGAAAGAAATGACATTAATTACTATTGCCAGATTGAGAAAAAAAGAATATTGGGTATCAGCTTGTTGCACTTCCTGGCTTTACTTTATAAAACTGCCCGTAAGAAAGGTGGAGGGCGCATTAGAAGCCAGCCCCACTCAGCCACCAATATCCCTGGTCTCCAGGTTCAGCTGCACAACCAGTCTGAACTGCTGCACAGCTGTGCTCTTCCTCAGTCCAGGAGGACATACTATAAAACAATCTGCTGGAATCTCTGAGGCCTCCTATCCATCCCCTCTAACCTCCCTCCCCCAATCTTTTAACATCTAAGCAATGATTTTAAATCCCAGAAAACAAGCGTGCAGAATGATGAGGTGGTGGTGGAGAAAACATTCTGCAACTGCTTTCTGGAGCACGTGGTCTCCACGAGTGAAGAACTGTAGGAAGGATCAAAGAATGAACAAATCTGATAGTATATTTAGGAAACCTGAATTTCATAAATTCTCTTGCTCCAGCAGTCTGAGGAACCAGGCAATGAAGAAGATGCCACACTAGCAGAGCAAGGAGATGCTGCATTAAAACCAGGCAGAAAAAAGGACTTCAGGGAGAGCTGTGCGCATCGACCTGCTCTCCAGCTATGGTTTGAGACAGAGTTCTCCAGAACACAAATAGACAAAAGTAGGATCAAAGGCAATTTAGGCTACATGGTCAACCGAAACACATCTTATCTTGTCTGAAGGATAAAACACCATCAGAAAGATGAAGAGCATACCTCAGAAAGTGATCTAGAGAAGGACCCGGAGGAAGGTTTCAGGACACTATTTGGCATCTTTGACTAAGTGCACAGAGATAGCTTCTATGAAATGAAACAGAATATCTAAGAAGAAAATAAATGGAAATGAAAAAATAATGAAAGAAAGTAAAAAGGGAAATAGAGATAAGAGGAAATATGGATGAGAAAAGGAAATCAAAATATAATCTATAAGAGAGAAAGAATGTAAAACGTACAGAACAAAAAGTCAATTTAGTAATGTGGAGACATATTTATGAAATCTTCCCAGAATGCAGAAAAAAAGGAAAAAACGATGAAACTGCACATTGATATAACTCTAAATAGCAATAATCTGATTACAAAACTGAGTACAAAGGTAAATTTCATTTTCAAAAGAGACAACATATAATTTAAAAACTAAGACCAAAATAATAATTGGGGAAAAAACCTCAGGTTATATTAATAAATAATAAAAGAGTGGTAAGTAAAAGTGGGATAAATTCCCCATTTTAAATAGGTGGGAATCAACAGATGCAGTTTCACTCTTGACTTTGACTCAGGCTTAAAAAGTTTTGATTGATTTACAGGTAACCATTAGTAAAACCTAAATAAGTTCCTGAAACATTAGCCAATTCAAAACCAAGTAACAACAAACTTAATCCATATACCAAAAGGCAGAAAACAAAGGAAACAGGAAAACAAAAGCAAAAAATTTTTTTGAAAAATGAAAACACCAATAATACTCAGAGCAGAATAGCAGAAAATATGACAAATTAATCTTATAAAAATGACTATTAATGGGTAAAACTCCTTCACTAAAAGAGACAGACTCAGATTGCCCCCCCACAACAGACACATACATGCACTCTCTCATGTAAAAACATGATCGCCAAAAAGGTGAAGTAAAAGGCATATCAGGTTTTCCCGATATATATATAAAGAAAAAAATCAAATATGACTGTATTAGCATAAACATAAAATTAAAGTCCTCCTCCCCCAAAATAAATATTGACACTGAATGTGAAAAGAGGCTTATTTTACATTTATATTTGTCAATAAATGTGTGTTACTTTTATAAAAATTAAAAGACATGTTGAAATTAAAACTAATACATGACAGAGAACACATTTATAATACTCAAATTTAAGCATAAATAGAGATATTTAGGTGTAAAATAATGCCACATAATTAAAAATTAAAATGATTAAATAGAAGATGGGAGTTCGGGAAAGAAAAGGCACAGTGAGCTTCCTGTACTCACGTAGTTCCTCCTGCTGTTGATCTTTTGATTCACACTCAACTCACCCAGTAAAGCCGCCCAGTGAAGTGGGGTTCGAAATAAGTTATCGTAAGATGTTATATTGCAGCTTTCGTATGAGGTCAAGACATCGGCCACTGTCACGTTCCCATCAGCGACTGCGAAGTGAAGAGGTGTCCGACCCTCGTAGTCTTGCCAGTTCAGCAAAGACTCTGTTGGAGCGGCATCCTGTTTTCAAGGAACCAGAGACTTCAGACACACATAGAGTCCTCACTAAATCACATTTGACATAAGTATGAACTGAGCAGTTTTCTAAACCTCTGTGTTCTCTCTCTGTTATGGACTGAGCAAAAGCTCCATATTTTGTTCTTTTGCTACCTATGTATACATTCATAAACGATACATAGACTTTGTATGTGTGTTTTTTAATATTTACACTTACACATTATACTCTGTATATCCTTCGGCAATTTTTTCTTTTAACAGTGTACTTTGGGATATCTATGTTGATACTAGTTCATTTGTTAAACCACAATGTAGTTACCCCTTCTCCTACTAAGGGATACTTAGGTTCATTTACATTTTTCCCACTATTAACAATAATGCTGCAATGAACATGCTTCCTTTACATGTCCCCTTGTAGCACATAAACGAGGTTTTTCTCAAGACTAGAAATCTAGCAGGGGAATTACTGGGTTGACGAGTACCTGCATCTTTAAGGAGGTATTGTTAAGCTGTTCTCCAAATGGTTGGACCAGTGAACAAATCCACGACAATGTGTAGAAGTTGTTATTTCCCCAAATGATGCCACAAATTAACCATTTGGCATTATCAAGCTTACTACATTTTTCTCCTTATAGGTATAAAAGGCATTTCACTGATGTTTTAATTTTTATTTCTTTTAGAAATGAGGTTGAGATTTTCAATCACATGTTTATTGGCTTTTTGGTTTTATTTCTCTTTAAATCAACAGTTCACAACATTTACTCATTTTTCTACGGGACCTTTGTCGCAGATGTTATGATACACTGCTTAGGTCTCCTTCAGGACTAAAGGACTTATTTCCTCAGCTGCTTGGAGCACTACCAGCAAATGACCCTCAACAGTCAGCCTTCTGAAACTACATCAGCTAAAGAGAGTTACCTCACCCAAAGTCATGTCCCTTCTTGGATTAGGTCCTATCAAAAGCCACGCCCTCTTGCCCCAATTTGAGAACTCTCTGAAGGGCCATCCCAGATTTAGATGCACTTGTACATTCAGCCTGTTTTACAAAGAATAGTATAAAAGGTATTATAAACACTTCAAAAATACCACAATAGTATTATAGGCCCTTGAGTTTCCCAAATACTAAGATACAATTTACAGGAAAAAGAAAGAAAAATCTGTGAGAATAAGATATGAGTGAAAATTATCCTCCAAGGACTTCCGATATTGGAATTAACACATAAAGAATATGAAACTATCTAAGAAGCATGTAAGAAAATAAAAAATAAAATAAAAAGTGAGCATGACCAAGATTTGAAAAAGAGCCAAACAGAACTTTTAGAAGCAAAAATGTAATCACTAAGATTAAGATTCAATGAACATAGTAAACAAGAGACTGGACTCAGAAGATTTAGTAAACTGGAAGACAGATCTGATGTGATTACCTAGAACACAGCTGAGAGAGACAAGATGTTGAAAATGTAAAAGAGGAGTTAAGAGACATGGAGGATAAAATGAAAAGGTCTAAAATATGTATAATTAGAGACCATAAAGGCAAGAACAAAGAGAATGAAAAGGAGGCAATATTTAAAGAGATAATGGCTATACATTTTCCAGAACGAAGAAGCAATAAACAGGATGTGTACCGAACAGGAAAAAAAAAAGCCACACCTAGACTGACTGTAGCACAACTATAGAATGCCCTATTGAGAAGAATTTAAAAGCAGCCTGAGAGGAAAGATAAGTCATCTATAAAGGAATGACAATTAGACCAATAACACACTCCTTAAGAGTAACAAAGAAAGGCAGAGTGCAGAAAAATAATAAAGACTGAGTTGAGAAAAGTAACTATCTAGAACTGTATATACAGGGAAACTATATATTAAAGAATAACATAGAAATGTAGACATTCTTAACAATTAAAAATAGTTTATCACCAAAAGATCTACACTAAAGAAGTTCTAAGAATTGTATTTCAGGAAGTAAGATAATAATCCTAGAAGGAAAATTTGAGATTCAAGAAGAAAGGCAGAGCAAAGAAATTAGTCAAAATGCAAGTAGAAGTAAATAATTATTATATATACAACATAATATCTTTTAAAGTTTAATTTGTGTGTTGCATGAAAATAGGATGAAATATTAGACTATCATAGCATGTGAATTGGAATTTGGGAAGGAGTGATAAGAAAACCACAAAAACATCTACTGATAAATATTTAAAATTAGTAAGTAAAGCAAGTTAGTTAGATATATAATTAATAAACAAAAATATCAGTTGCATTTCTATTCATGTACAACATGTATAGAAATATACACCCATAGATATGTTTTAAAAAGTTCAAAGTGTCACTGTTTGTAAAAAGCAAAAAAACTGTAAACAGTTCCAAATCTCCGTCAATAACTGGATGAATAATGTGTGGTTTATTTACAAAATGGGATACTATATAGCAGTAAAAATTAACATATGACAGCTACACACAGCAATAAAGCTAAAATCACTAGCATAATGTTCAACAAGACAATCATGTTGCAAAAGAATGCATATAATATGATTCCATATACATAAAGTTTAAAAAAAACATTAAAAACTAAACAAGGTGTTGTTTAGAGACACAAACATATGTGGGAAAACTATAATGTAAGTAGGTGAAATGATACACCCAAAATTGAGGATAGTGTTTGCCTCTGAGAAAGGAGAGAATAGAATGGTACTGGGAAGTACTCAGGGGACTTGAAAGGTAATGGTAATGTACTTTTTCTTAAACTCAGTGATGAGTACATGAGTATTTGTTGTCTCCTTATTCGTAACATCTTACATCTATTTTACAAATATTCACTTATGTCTACTCCCTATTTAATAAAAACAAGGACCAAAAAACAAAGTCAGGGAACGATAAATATAAATTTAAAAGAGCAGTTGATGGGGGGACAGGAATGAACATGGCCTCGGGAGAGAATGCATTTGGGAAATGGTACACAGAAAACTGCTATGTGGTCTTAACTAGCGGTATTAAAATGTCCTACAATATTTCTTGAGTGATGTTTGCATGTTTGTCATACTCTTTTGCTTCATAATCTCCTTGTGTGACCTATACAGGATATGCTTTTGTGTATATTGGCTATTTCATAAGACAAGAATTTTAGGGGGAAGACCAGCCAGGTCTGCCAGCACCGCTGCACTCACCAGAATGCATCGCACTGTATGAACGGCGCTCGGGTCTTTGTGGTTGGCTGCCCAGTGAAGCGGGATTTTGCCTTCAACATCAGGAATTCCGATGTTGGAATCATGCTTGATAAGCAGCTTCACATGCTCAGGGTTATTGTAGTAGGCGCTCCAATGCAGAGCTGTTTGCTATAAGATTGAGATTCTCAAAATAACAACAGTAACAACAGCAACAATAACAGCACAACAAATTTTTCCCAGGCTCTAACTGTTGTTAAGAGCTTTGACATATTTTATCTCATGTAGTCATCACGACAATTCTAGGAGAAAGTACCTTTGAATTTGCACATGACTGATGAGGAAACTGAGCACAAGGAAGATAAGTAATCTGCTCAAGGACATAAAGGCAGTAAATGGCCAAATTAAGATTCTAACCCGGGTGGGCTGCTGTCGGAATCTGCCCTCTTAGCCACGGTGAGCGCTTAGGCCATCAGGTACCAAAAGAAATGGTGATGCTGAGAAAGAGAAAAGCAGCCCAATAATTTATGAATAATTATTAACGAAGTAACTGATGATCTTGATATTGCATCGAGCCCCTTAAAAATTTGATACAATGTTTTGAATTATATGAGCTATCAAAAAGGTCCATATATAGGAAATCATAGATCTGGAATTCTTTTCTGATATCAAAGAATAAATTTAGCTATTGAAAATACAGCAAAATTTGCTTAATTTCAGATAAAAGTTAAAAAGGAACATCCTGAATGTGTGGATGTTTCTTTAAAACCTCTTCCATGTCCTCAGTGACATACCATAGTAAGATTGCTCTACCAAGAGGTTTATTCAGGAGACACACAGAAACTGTTTAGATATACATTGTCCCTTTCGAGTAGCATTGTTATCAATCCAGTCTAGAATTAGATCATTTAACAGCAGGAACCAAGCTCATTTGTCACAATAAACACTTTATAAATACGTGGTATTCATTCAAAGTGTACCTATAGGCATTTAACATAAAGAATCACATTTTAACTTATTATCTTTTATTCAGTAATAACTGCAGGATGAAAAAGTCACAAATACAATAGCAATTAATTTTCCTATAATTACATTTTCAATAAACAACATGTACAGTTTCTGTAATTCTTTTTCTTTTCCCAAGTTATGTTTGTTCTGAATATATTTATTGAAATTAATATTATGTCTTTTGAATATAAGAATAAAAATGTTTGGGGTTGTATTTTTTTACATCTCTGTTTTTTATTTTTCTACTAATTTTCTTTTTTACTGTGGCAAAAAATATCTATAACATAAAATTTACTATTTTATCTGTTTTTAAGTATACAGTTCAGTGGCATTAAGTATATTTGGCTTGTTACGTAACCATCAGACCATCCATCCCCAATATTTTTTAACTTCTCAAACTGAAGCTCCATACCCAATTAACAGTGACTCCCATTCCCACCTTGTCCCAGCCCCCAGCAACCTCTGTCCTAGTTTCTGTTTCTGTGAGTTTGATGACTCCAGATGCCTCATGAGTGGATTCATACAATCTTTGTCCTTCTGTGTCTGACATTTTACTTAGCCTAATATCTTCAAAGTTCATCAATGTTGTAGCATGTGTCAAAATTTAATTCCTTTTTAAGGCTGGATAATATCCCGCTGTATGTATACACTGCATTTTGTTTAGCCATCTGTCATCAATGGACATTTGGGTTGTTTCCATTTTTTTGCTATTCTGAATAATGTTCCTATGAATATGGATGTGCAAATATCTGTCCTAGTTCCTGATTTCAATTCTTTTAGGTGTATACCCTGAAAGAGTATGACTGAGTCATATGGTAATTCTATGTTTAATTTTTTTTTAGGAACTGCCATATTGTTTTCCCCAGTGGCTGCACCAATTTAGATTCCTACCAGCATTGGGCAAGGGTTCAAATTTCTCTATATCCTCACCAACACTTGGTATGTGTGTGTGTGTGTGTGTGTGTAATAGTAGCAACCCTAAAGGAGGTACTACTATTTGTAGTTTTGATTTGCTTTTCCTTAACGATTAGTGATGTTGAGCGTCTTTTCATGGGCTTGTTGGCCACTTGTATATGTACTTTGGAGATATGTCTGTTCAAGTTCTTGGCCCCTTTTTAATTGGGTTGTTCTTTTTTTTGTTGTTCATTTTTAATGTATGTCATAAAATTATTGGTCTGTGACAGACTGGAAATTAAAAAACAAACCAATCCTTTCCCTCAGATACTTTGAGAATCACTGCTCTAGGCGTTTATCTTCCTCTATTCCCTGTGCCGGTCTGGACTGTGTGGACCCATTTTCCATCTGCCTTCACTGGATAACCTCCCATCCCTGTTCAATACAGAATAATATACGGATACCAGAGGGAAGTACAAAGTATCTAAAATATTTGGGGAAGACATTATAAAGCCCAAAGACATTCATAGCTTAAGTGATTAATGGTCTTTGAGGATTTACCAAAGTGTTTTTTTTTAGTAAAATATTAGCACTCTAGAAATGCTGTGAGTTAGGAATAATATTAATTTACAGCAAGCTGTAAAATAAAGTTGATTACAGAACTCTGGGTTATGTGACTATTAAACAAAATCTGAAAACCACATAAAGAACACTATGAGAGTGAAAGGATTATTGCACATAAACCCAGTAGATTTAATCATAAGAGTTTTAATTACATGGGAGCGTTAGAGTTAGCAAGACTCTATAATTAAGTGCCTGGTGAAAATGAAGAGGAATATTGCACTTGTCTAAGTAAAGACCACATTTTTTCCCTGTAGAAAATAAGCAGAGCGATAACCAGTCGATCAAAACAATGACCAATGTGTACGATACGTTAAAATTCAAGAGCAGAGAAGACAATAGATCCTCGCAACAAATGCCAGAGTGGATGTTAGAACCTAAATGAAACTGCTAATATTTCATAGCTAACATTTATGGAAAGCATACGCTGCACTGGGCATTGTGCTAAACGCTTTATATATATTATCTCATTTTCTCCTCAACACCCTATTATCCCCTTTTCACACACGAGAAAATTGAGGCACAGGAGTAATTTGCCCAAGGACACAGAACAAGCAGTTATAACTTCCAGACTGAAATCCAAACAGTCTGATGCCAAAGCCAGGCCGTTCAACAACTGCGCACTTAGTACAGCGCCAGGCACTGGCCGCCACAGATCTAACCACCACGGTCACTATCACAACCAGCTGTTAAATAATGGGTTTCTGTTTGAATTCTAGTCCTGCCACTTGGATTTTTGGCAGAATTTTAATCTTTTTGAACTTCTGTTTCCCCACCTGTAAAAAGGACATGATACTACCTACCAAATATGGTTGCTAGGAGGATAAAATGACAGGATTTAAGTGAAATACTTTACTAGGACATATGGAGACTTGGAATTGCGCTACTGTGTGTATGAGTGGTAATTGAGGTTCTTCCTTGAGGTTTCATACTATAAACGGGAGCATTTGCTTTCTGCTCTTATTTGTCTTGGATTGTGGCAGTGCATTACCTTGTTTTTGTCCTGCGTATCCACTTCTCCTGGGGCCATAAACTTTAGCAGAAGCGCTAAACACTTGGGGCTCTTGTGCCGAGTGGTCAGGTGCAAAGGAGTCATCTCTTCCAGGTCCTTTTGCATCCAATTTGCTCTACGTGTGAGTAAGAGTTTCATGAAACGATAATTTCCCTAAATAAAAAAGTAAGAGATGGTAAGAAGAAAGTTAGTCTGGGGTCAAATTTTTTTTTTTTAATTTTAAAATGTTCTGAAGTATTTTAATTATTCTGCTAGAGTAATAACATTCAGAATAATTAATAAAAAGAAAAATACTTATAATTCTATTACTCTATCAATTGTTTTATTTTTTCATATTTCCTTCCAACCTCTTTCTATATGCACATAGTTTACATAGTTGCTGGTCAATATTTCATTGTATAAAAGCAATATATTTTATTTAACTATTCTAAAATTATTTCCAATATTTTCTTCACAGAAACTGCTACAATATACATCTTCTTCTCACATAGCTGTTTTTCTTCTTATTTATTTTTTATGAGAATAGGCCTGGCTGGTGTGGCTCAGTGGATTGTGCACCAGCCTGTGAACTGAGAGGTCGCTGGTTCAGGGCACATGCTTGGGTTGGGGGCCAGACAGGCTGGGCGCGTGCAGGAGGCAACCAACTGATGTTTTTCTCCCTCTCTTTCTCCCTCCTTAACTCTCTCTCTGAAAATAAATAAATAATATCTTTAAAAAAAAAGAATAAATTATTGGGAACCAACTTACTGGGTCAAAGGAGTTTATACATTTTATGTCTTGGGGTTTTTTTGGGGGGTGTATTCTCCAAATTGCTATCTAGTAGCAGCAATAAGTACATTAGTTTCAGCATATTCTGACCAATACAGCACATATTTATATTCAAGGTATGATAACTTTGTGAAATAAGCAGAGATTTTAAACCCCAATAATAGGTGAGGGAAGTGAGATTCAAAGGGGATGAATATTCTGTTCACGATCATCTGATTAAGGAGGAGGTGGTTAGTTTTCTTGAACGCAGTTATTTACAGGTACAACTAAGCGAAAAGCAGCTTGTTCAGACTTCGAGTCCTTGGCTCATAAGTCACCTAAACACAAACTCAGGAGTCATGATAGGCCATCCACTTGCAGGCAGTACTCTCCACATCAGTTAAAGCCTCCACTCTGGTAGAATCAGCTCATCTGGAAAAAGAACCAACTACAAGGGCTAGAGCAACACACTGGCAGGGATGCTGGTCAACCAGTATAGGACAGCCCCCCCTTTCCCAGGTTTCGCCTTCCATGGTGTCCCCTACTAGTGGTGAACTGCAGTCTGAAAATATTCAATGGAAAACTGAATAAACAATTCATAAGTTTTAAATTATGTGTAGTTCTAAGCAGTGTGATGAAATCTCATGCCATCCAGCCCTGTCCTGCCTGGGATGAGAATCATCCCTTTGTGTAGTGTATCCACGCCATATACGCTACCTGCCCACTAGTCACTTAGCAGCCATCTCGGTTATGAGAGGGAAAGAGAGAGGGAGGCAGGGAGACTGCATTCACATAACTTTATTACAGTATATTGCAATACTTTTTCTATTTTATTATAGTAAATTACACTTTATCAAAGGCATGTGTGTATAGGAAAAAATAAAACATATATAGGGTTCAGTCCTAGCCTCAGTTTAAGGCATCTGCCCAGGGTCTTGGAATGTATTCCCCACAAATAAGGGGCAACTACTGTATTGTATAGTACATCTGTGTAATATAGGAGCTTTGAAACAAAACCCACAAAAAACAGTTCTTTTGAGGTCTTTCCTAAGATGCTTAGTACCACAGATATTTCAAAGTCAAGATGGCCAAACGGTATTGCATGGTCAAATTCTCAGCCTACCTCATGCCTATTTCTTTCTCCCTATTCAAAACATAGTGGGCAGGTTTCATCTTCTGAGATCCTCTCCATCCTTTACCCTATTGGAAACTTGGTGGTTTAGGCTTATAATGCATTGATGTTTTACTATGAGGGGCTATCGGTGTTAGTAAGGAAGACAACTGTTGACTGAGCAGCCTCCCGCCATGATGATGACTGTGAGGCTCTAAGGCAAAGGGGACCAGTTAGGGCAATGGTGAGGTGCAGAAGGATGAATGAGAGTTGCCTCCTTGCCCAAGGGGCAGAGACAGGCTTCAAGACAAGCTCAAGAACTGGGGCAGAAATAAGAGAGAACAAGGCTAGGAAAAGGGATGGACAGACTTGGAATGGACCAAAAAGTGAACTGACTCAACTCAGTTACTTCCTCTCAGAGAGGCTTGTCCTTCACTCTAAGTAGACCGCCCTTAATCTGTTCTTTTTTATTCTAGCACCCTTTCATATCATTCACATTACTTTTCTCAGTTTATAATGACATGTGTTTGTTTCCCTTCACTGTGATCACCCTCACAAGCTATAAGCTATAGAAACTATGTTTTAGTGACCATTGTGCTTGGCAGAGTTCGTGGCACAAAACAGTTATTTAATAAATATTGAAGGATTGAATGAATAAGGGGAAATCAAATATCTTCTAGAGGTTTCATTTCTATTTAAAAATTATTACAGTTGCTACATTAGATCATAGCAGTTAAGAATCTTAATTCTCAGATATCTGTGTGTTTTGTCTCACTTACTTTTTAATGTTTCATGTTTCTGACCTTCATGCACAGTGGACATCGTTTGCCAGGACTTTCCATTTTGCCCAGTGCCAACTTTTAAAAAGGAAGGTGCTGACATTTCCTCAAGAGGGCACCCTGCTCTAAATATCTTGCCATCTTTTCTTGGAAAAAAGCATAAGTGCCCAGGAAAAACAAGTCTATGTGGTACTTCACACCAAAAAAATAAGGGTTGACCTTTCTGAGCATAACATTTCAAATATTACAGAATAATTCATCATGACCTTTTAAAGATATTCAATCACACAATCAATTTGATTCTGAAATTTAGAGGAAAAGGAAACTAGAATGTGTTGAGGGACTGACTACTGAGTTATTGAGCCTTGTTCTGAAGGAGGCAACAGTAAAATGTTTGCACCTAACTTCACTTATTACAAGATATTTGACAGATTTCATCTTTGCTTCCCACAGAGGTATCATAGAAAAATTCTACAGGTTAAATAAAGTACCTTCCTATGTCTTTATTTCCTCATCTGTAAAATAGGAATAATAATAGTACCTGAGATTATTATGCATATGAAATGGTAAAAACAGTATGTGTAAAGTACTTAGAACAGCGCACAAAGCAAATGCTCAATAAATGTTCGGTAGTTTTATTATGCAGTTTTCCCGTGTGGAGGAGGTAACAAAACACAGATGGTCAAGTGAAACCAAGACTGGCCCATGATAGAGCGCATGTAGACAGGAAGATATGACCATATATGGAATACCTAGTTCAGCTAGTGATTGGGGAGAAACCCAAGGTTAAGGATAGGTAAAAGTAAAAAATAGTTGGAATGCTATAAATAATAGTTTTTCTGATTTTTTTTTACATTGAGAAAGATGTCTATACCTATACATAATGATAATATAAAATCAACAAGGGCATTCCCAAAAGGAATTTAGCTGATGCCATGGGAGGGGTCAGCTATATGATCAGGAGCTTCTCTTATTTGACAGGACAGAAACACATCAGAATGCTGGAACAGGAAACAATATAATCCAGTTGGACCAAGGTCAACTTCCTTGGTCTCATGAACAAGCATTTATTAAATACCCAGTGAATGTAAACTCAATTCTAAGGATGAGTATAGGGGACAGAAAACTCAGAGCTGAAATCAGGATATTTCTAGTGTCAGAGGAAAATGGTAAGATATTAGTTCAAGGCATCAAGCTAATTTTATAGCTCTCTGAAGGTTACATGCTTCTGGGGACCCATGTCACAGGGAAGCTACTCTGCTTCCTGTAAAGCCCCCTCAATACTAAAGGAAACAAACAAAACGTCTAAACATTTCCTCACTATTGCTTGAAACTGGAAATTTTCAGGTTTATTCTTTTTAAAAAATTTTTTAAAAGATTTTGGTTTATTTTTAATTTTATTTAGACAGAGGGGAAGGGAAGGAGAGAGAGAGGGGGAGAAACACCATTCTGTGGTTGCCTCTCATGCACCCCTACTGGGGACCCTGGCCCGCAACCCAGGCATGTGCCCCAACTGGGAATCGAGCTGGCAACCCTTTGGTTCACAGGCCAGCGCTCAATCCACTGAGCCACACCAGCCAGGGCAGGTTTATTCTTATAACACAAATACATTGGGGAGGATTTAGAAGTGAATAATTCAGTATCATCTCTTAGGACCACACAGAACCTCTTAATGCTGAGGTGTGGACTGTTTTAGGATCTGCTTTTATAATTTTTGACTGTGTAGAAAACAGTATAAGAGTTAAAGAGATAACACATCAAAAGAATCTGTATTCTTAAGAAAAGCCTAAAGTTAAGACAGAAGTGAGACAGCTGAAGTTACAGAAAAGTCGTGATTTCGTCACTGAAAGGACATTAACTCTGATATGACCAGGTCTATTATGCCACTGAAATGTGAAGAACTTTCCTAATGCCTCTGAAACACAGAATGTTTTGTTTTGTTTTTGTTAGGTAGTCATAATCCTCATCTTATTTTCTCTTAATTATTGATACCAAGAGCTGCTTCTTTTGTCTGTAATGTAAATGCTTACAACACTTGGTTTTTCTCCAAATGCATGAGAAAGAGCATAACATCTAAAAGGGTTAAAGAGATGAAAAAGTTCTCTGACCTGGAGAACAGAATTTGAAATGAGTCTGGGAAATGATCAACCTAAAATGCCTCTTTTAACCTTACACAGTATTTTTGTCTGGCCAGTTCTCTAAGATGAACTCCCTTTTAAGAAAAACATATAGTCATTACATCTTAATAACAATAATATAGACGGTTTGAATGAAATACCTTGCTATTTTACCTTAGATTCTTCCTTTCTAAAGAAATAAAACATGACAGAAATGATTAACGTTTCCATTCGCCTTTCCTAATTCCATCACTGTCTCTCCTTCTTCAGACACTCCTGTCCTAAATTTGTCCTAAATTTGTTTGTCATTCCAATAAATGTTTTAATACTCTTACTTCTTATAAACATACATATCCATGAGTTATACAGTATTGTTTTAGATGTTTCCAAACTTTACAT